AAAATCGGCTGCACAGAGGAGGAAAAACAAAGCTAGGAGGGAATAATCCGCTGCTCTTGAGACTAAAAAAAACGACTTACAGAATGTAAGGATATATAACCTAAGTCTTTAGAGAACTGTTTTAGTTCTGCAGTCAAATGCTCTACCACTGAGCTATACCCCCGAACTGTTTTAGTTCTGAATCAAAAATCAAAATTTGTTACTGGTGGCTTATGTAGAAGTAATAGGATAGGAGCCCAGATCAATTAAAGATGTGGTGAGCCAATGTAAATTTATTGAGATGATCATTGAATTTGGACGAGATGTCAGAATACCCACAGAGGTTAAAGTTCCAATTGCTCCTCTCTATTATGGTTTATCTATAATTTGAGACCTGAAAAATTCATTATACTACTGTTTCAACATTGAGATTATGTTCCATGCATTTATTTCATTTTTAAGAATTTTAATCAGATATGAAAGTGTTTGATACCTGTTTATGTCTTAAAATTTATTCCTTATAAATAAAGCAGTTGAAATAGTGAAATGCCTTTCCTCTTATAAAATTATTAAAAATATTTGCTACGGGGGGGTGTGGTGGTGCACCTGGGTCGCTCAGTCGGTTAAGTGTCTGCCTTTGGCTCAGGTCATGATCCCAGGGTCCTGGGATAGAGCCCTGCATCGGGTTCCCTGCTCAGTGGGGAGTCTGCTTCTCCTTCTCCCTCTGCCCCTCCCCCTGCTCATGCTCTCAGTCTGTCTCTCTCAAATAAATAAAATCTTTAAAAAAATATTGCTACTTATTTTCCATGATGAATCTTAACTCACATCACACAAATAGAAAGAATGACGGCTTTTAATTACTGGACTATACTAAGGAAATACAAAGGATGAGACGGAAATATGTGCACTTTTTTTTACTTAAAATGTTCGTTCAGATTCTTGATACATTTCGACACATTTCATCAATGTCTTATACTTTGAAGAAAAAAAAAAGGTCTATAAGTCTCAAGTGAGAAATGAGCACTTAAACTATTAATTTACGTTTTTTTCTGAGCAAACAAGTGCAAATATTCTCAGTTGTTTTCTCTATTCATTACTACATATTCTGAATAATTTATGAAAAATAATGACATGGCCATTTTTGAAATAATATGAATTCTGAATGAAAGAGTTGATTTCGGAGTATTAGAGAAAGGAAACACTAGTCAGAGAGTCAAGTATAATTTCTGTGAAAAGGAAAGATAGCATCTCCTGTTCACATGTAACCTGTTATTTCTACCTGATCGTCAGAAAAAGCAGAGCTTAGTCACAAGCTATACAGGATTTAGTCACAGCAACTCATCATATATTGTAAAAATTTCCTTTGTTCTTTTTGTGTTGATGAAAGCTTAAGACAATTGAAAATAAATCCTAAACTAATAGAACTAAAACATGTTTTTAGGCTTGTGTCTCATAACTCCTCTGGTAATAATCTGTTAACATAAAAATTTGAGTTGTTGACCCTGAGATGGCAATATAGATTGAAACAATGTAGAAATAATTACAGTGTTGTAAAAAGTATTTTTGTAACTAATGAAATCATAGAATTTGATTGTGGGACGAGATAATGAAATGGACTACATTTGTAACTTTGTAACTGAAATCAACTATAGATATAAGCATTGCTCCAAATTTGTCATTGTAGCTTTTAAAAAGTGCAGATTACTGGTCCCCAACCCAAAAGATTCTAATCCAACAGACTTGGGATAGTACATAGGAAGATAGATTAGATAGATAGATAGAAAGATAGATGATAGATAGATAGGTAGATAGATAATTTTTTTTTTTGAGAGAGAGACAGAGCGTTTGAGAGTTGGGGGGGCGGTCAGAAGAGAGGGAGAGTGAGAGAATCCCAAACAGGCTCCACACTCAGCGAGGAGCCCAACACCAGGCTCCATCTCATGACCCTGAGATCATGACCTGAGCCAAAATCAAGAGTCTGACGCTTAACCAACTGAGCCACCCAGGCACTCCTGGGATATATATTTCAAACAAAAAACTCTCCAGATTATTGTGACACACATCATAATATGGAGCCATTGATCTAAACTAATAGTTCGTTCTTGAAAAAGAAAAGAAAAAAAATCTGAAGGTGTTAACTGGTCACCCAGATAACTGTGATAAAAAGAAGCTAGTACACAGTGTAACCGAGTCTGCCTCCAGCATTCTTCTTATCATACAATATTGCTCTATTAATTATTGCATATGTTATTAAAAAGTGACCCTTTTACTTCAATAAATGTACTTTGACTAAAATGAAATTGATAGCTTAAAGAGAAGTAAAATTGAGCATCTTATTATTTTTATTACCCCAAATATCTCAATCTTCACTAGTTAGGTCATATGCCAGGTCATATTTTCCCTCAGTGCCCAAATCACAATTATTCCAAGCTCTAACTCTTTTCTACAGAGAAAATCAGCATTTACAATGTTCCCCTTGCCAAATCTGATTCCAGGGAGATTCTTACCTTTTTTACAAATATGCATTAAATGTTTATGACTTCAGCCAGGATGGCTCTAGAAGGTAAAATTGAATTACAAAGAAGTTGAGTAACTTGCCCAGAGTCACAGAGGAAAGGCTTCCCACACGCAGCCTGGCTCCTACACTCACCTAATCCCAAACCACTACCATCTGGGGCCTAGATGGTGGAGCTCTTGGCAAAGCTACTCACCTTCTGCACAAAGTGAGAGGAGCCCTCCCAGTCCCAAGAGGTTGAGGTTCCACAGTCCCTCACCTCCGGATTGGTTTTGAGGTGCTGCTGTTGATGCATTTCCCTCAGGGAAGCCCCATGGAGCCCATGGTTTGAAGCTGTCTTGTCAGATATGACTGGAGAGAATTTAACCGCAAGATTAATCCCTGTGAACTCTGAGGAGCTGAGAGAACCACTGCTAGCCATGTGGTATCTTTTACACACAGGAGAAAAAGCACCCTGGGGTGGGGATGGAGGGGGTAGGGGTACTTTTCATGAAAGTAACTCCTCTGAATTGAAGAATTACAAAAGGTGCCCCCTTCTGGCCTGAGGTAGCACCCCCACCCCCCC